AATAGGGGAAATCATAACTCTAGACCTCCTTAATCTTGTCTCCAATCCTTAACCTTGTTAATTGATAGTTTACTGCTTTCTAGTATTTGTTAGTTAATTAGATAAAAATAAATATTATAATCTTTATAATTAGAAAATTTTTTGGACTTGTGTTTCTTAGCGATATTGAACAATTATAGCTAAGTTTTAGTTCTCTTTGAGATTCGACTTCGGACTTGTAAACCGAATTATATTTGCAACGACCGCTTAGTCCTTTTGATAAGGCATAGTTGGGTCATGATCAAATTTTGTCAACTCATCAAGTAAAATAGGAAAAGGTGATTAAATTAAACCAGCCATCAATGGAGGATTGGGAGTACGGAACTTGACACTACACATTAATAGTCTTTTGGAGAATGACTATGGAGGTTCAGCTCCGGGGAAGGGAGATTACGAGAACTCCTAATTGCAGGCATGGCGCAAAGGTAGGATTATGGTGTCGTGAGTCTTAACTTTACTTATGGAACATGGAAAAATTATGACAAAGGACCACATCGTTCAACTCCAATCTGATTCAATTTTTTCGATTAGATTACTCATGTGCTAAGTCTAGTAAAAAAAGGACTTTCTATCCATAATTTACAAGTGAGATGGGTTGTTGTATTTGTTGCTATTTCCGGCGGATCTGCTGGTGGATTCTGCCGAAGTAACAACGAGGAGAAACAGCAAAGAGAGAGAGAGAGTTGTGTTATAAAATTAGATGGGTCTATATTTAGACGAGTTACGGGTGAGTTTAATTATATTTTGGTTGAAGTTCAAGTTACGCTAATGAGATGGTGACATGTGGATATTAATTAAGAAAAATCCAAAATTTTTTATTAGTAATAAGGGTAATGTTGAGCCAAAAATATAACGGTAGGGGCATTTTTATTCAAACAACTAGACGGAAGACATTTTTGTACCAATTTCGATACTTTAGGGATAGTTTGATCCCTTTTTCGCATTTAATATAGGTACACACTCAAAGTGCATGCCATAAAACTAGCGATGTAACTTTTGGTTCTCTCACTATCTAATAGCATTAGGATTAAAAATGACTTTTCGTTTCAATTTAGATGAGATAGTTTGACTTGGTACAAAATTTAATCCTAAAAGGTTAAGGGGTAAAAGCTTTGTGGAACCATATTATTTGTGTGACTATAAAAACTTCTCTTTAAGGGTAAAGTGAGTAAAATAAAAAGTTTAAAATTAAATTGTTTCTAAATATAAAAATATGTCATTCTCTTTTAAACTGACTAATAAGGATTGAAATGCAGTGCGTACTAAGTGGGCTTTGGACATAAAAATTGTAAAATTCCAAAAACAAAAGTGAAAAAAAATTTCAAGTGAAAATGGTATTTGAAAATTAGAGTTGTGTTTGGACATGAATATAATTTTGAAATTTTGTGAGTAATCTAAGTGAAAATTTTGAAAAACAATTTTTTGGAGTTTTTCAAAATTTCAAAATATATCTTCAAGTGAAAATTGAAATTTTTTTATGAACAAACGCTAATTTCAAAAAAAAGGGAAAAATTTCTTATGTCCAAACGGGCTATAAGTACTCCCTCTGTTCCAATTTATGTGTCACGACCCGGATTCCCACCCTCGGGAGTCGTGATGGCGCCTACTAATACGAGCTAGGCAAGCCAATCAATTGCCCCATTTACCTTTTTACCCATTTTATATTCACTAACAAATACGAAATAATAACGTTTAAACAGTGGAATTTAACATAAGCGGAAGAAAGAAATAATAAGCTATCTGAACATGAATATCTAGTACAACTGTTTGAATTTCGACCACCCAGGACTGGTGTCACAGTTTCCCAGACGGTCTAAGAGCACTAAAAATAAAGGTCTGAAAGAAATAAATACAACACTGTCTCTGGGAATGCATGAAAGAAACATGAATAGTAGATGGAAGGAGACGCCAAGGCCTGCGGACACCTACAGGACTACCTCGGGTCGCCTGATGATCAAGAATCAGCAATCTTACTGTAGTCTAAAGTCCACAACACAGGGGTCTGCACAAAAAAGTACAGAGTGTAGTATCAGCACAACCGACCCCATGTGTTGGTAAGTGTCTAGCCTAACCTCGGCGAAGTAGTGACGAGGCTAGGACCAGACTACCAAATAAACCTATGCAGTTATGTACTATACAACAGAAAGTAAAGCAGAAATAAACAAATAAAGATGGGAGGGGGAAACGTGCTTGGGGGAATAACAGGTAAAAACAAAATATCAAGAGGATTATTAAGGAATCAAAACCACCCACTAACAAGAATAAGGGAACAAAGGCAGATTTCACTTTCTTTTCATATCTCGTGACATGCGTGCCACCCGACCCATATATAATATTGTTGCAGCGTGCAACCCGACCCATATATAATATTGTTGCGGTGTGCAACCCGATCCACATATAATATTGGTGTGGCGTGCAACCCGATCTATATATAATATTATTGCGGTGTGCAACCCGATCCATTCATAATAGTTACAATTATAACGAGAGTCCCGACAAGGGATTAATAAGGTTTACACTATCCCGGCAAGGGATTCGACAACATAAATAATTACGTCCCGGCAAGGGAGAAACAGCTATAACCAAACTTGTTCCAACATCTAACTACCTCAGGTACAACCAAACTTGTTACAACACCTAACTACCTCAGTTATAACCAAACTTGTTACAGCACCTAACTACCTCAGCTATAACCAAACTTGTTACAACACCTAACTACCTCAGCTACAACCATAATCCTTACCCAACACAAAGAATCATCGACCTAAGCATCCGTAATATCAATTAAGAACACAATGCAAGAGAATCACAACTCAACAATAGCCCAGCAAGGGGGCAACATAATGATCTCTTCTCTTTCTCACTTTTACTTCACAATTCACTTCACAACTCGAGCCAATGCTCTAGAGTTTCAATTATCACTTAAACTTTCACAATTCGTTATACAACTGGAGCCAATGCTCCTCAAGGTTCATAAGTCACAATTATTTCCATAACTTTACACAACAAATAGAAATCTTTACCAAGGCATGAATAATACAACGGAATCATGAAAATCACAATATAAGACTCACGGTCATGCTTGACACCAATGTATAGATACTCGTCACCATGCCTATACGTCGTACTCAACAAGAAGCAAATAGGACACAACTCCTAATCCCTCAAGCTAAGGTTAGACAAACACTTACCTCGATGCCACGAACACAATTCACGATTCAATTATAGCTTTACCCCTTGATTTTACCACCAATTCGCTCGTATCTAGTCAGTAGTTACTTAATTACATCAATAAACGCTAAATGAATCAATTTGAATGCATGAAAATGGGTTTTCCAAAGTTTTACCCAAAAAGTCAAAATCGCCCCCGGGCCCACATGGTCAAAACCCTAGGTTTGAACCAAGACCCGATTACCCATTCCCCCACGAACTCAAATATATAATTCGTTTTGAAATCGGACCTCAAATCGAGGTCCAAATCCTCAATTTTTGAAAAACCTAGGTTCTACCCAAAACATCCAATTTCTCCCATGAAAATCATTGATTTTGAGTTGAAATCATGTTAAAAGATGTTAAGGAGTGAAGAAAATGAGTTAGAAATCACTTACCAACATTTTGGAGAAGAAAGTTTGTTTGAAAAATCGTCTCTTATGTTTTTGGGGTTTTGAAAAATAAAAAATAACTGAAAATCCCATCTAAATATACTATTCTCAGATGCCCTGTGCGGACCGCACAAAATCAACTGCGGCCGCACAGCACTACTTGTGTTCTGCAGTGACATGTCTTAGTATTTTGCCATAACTTTCTCTACAGATGTCCAAATGCCTATTATAATATATTTCTGAAAACTAGATTCAAAGATCTACAACTTTTGTTTTTGAATCATCCCCAAATTCTTTGTAGATCAAAAGATATGACCTTCTGAAGTCGGACCAGTGAATCTGTGCGTACTGCACAAAATCAACTGCGGCCGCATAGTCACCAGTGCGGACAACACAAAAACTACTGCGTTCAGCACTGTGGGTTTAGAGGTTTGCACTTCTCTGAACCTGCAACATCCATGTTTTTAAGCCTAAGGCATCCCGGGACCTACCCGAAACTCACCCGCGCCCTCGGAACTCCAAACCAAGTGTGCATACTAACTCAAAGACATCATATGGACCTACTCGTGCGATCACATCCTCAAAATAACATGTAAAATTATGAATTAAACCTCAAAACTCAACATTTTCATCAAGAACTCTCAAAGTTCATAATTCTTCAACCGGAAGTCCAACTCACGTCAAATAAACTCTGTTTTTCACCAAATTTCATAGTTATCTTTCAAATACTATAACAAGTTTGTATCGGGCTCCGGAACCAAAATACGGGTCCGATAACAATGGTTTCAAATATTAATTCTTTTCTTCATTTCTTAGATACTTCAGTAAAACAATTTCTTTCAAAAATTAATTTCTAAAGCTTGGGACCTCGGAATTCAATTCCGGGCATACGCCCAAGTCCCATATTTTACTGCGGACCTCCCGAGATCGTCGGAACATGGATCCGGGTCCGTTTGCTAAAAATGTTGACCAAAGTCAACCATAATCAAATTTTTAACTCTAAAATTTTCTATTTCTCATATTTTCACATCGAAGACTTTCCGGATATAGGTCCGGACCACGCACGTAAATCAAGGTGGGGTAAAAAGGAGGTTTTTAGGCCTCGGAACACTGAATTCACTTGCAACACAAGTCCTTTTGGGTCATCACATTATGTGAACCTGTTTGTCTGGGCACGAAGTTTAAGAAAAAAATGTAAACTTTTGAAATTTGTGGTTCTAAATAAGTCAAAAGGGATCCATAATATTTGCGTGGTTATAAAAATTTCTTATTAAGGATAAAATTGAAAGTTTAAGCTATACTATTTTCAAATTTAGAGGGGGATCATTATTTTTTTTAATACACCCAAAAAAAAAAAGGTTCGGAACGGAGGAAGCAACTTTTTTCCGTGTGCAGACCAAAAAACATCCAAAACCACTACCAGATAGGTAAAGGAGGAGACCGTAGTCCGTTAGTTACAGGTAATTGGAGAGGAGCAGGAAAGGATTGGGAAACATGGAGGGTCTTACCATAGTTGGAGCAAATCCTTTTGTTTCTTCTTTACTTCGTACACCCTCTTCCAAAATCTCCAACTTTTCCTGCAGTCTTATCATGCCAAACGCCGTCTTTCCGAACCACCACTTAGCCGCATTGCGACCAGCATTTCATCTTTTCTCTTATGCCCCCAAAAGGCACCATAGACCTCCTATTTTCCTACCCCATTTGGTTGCTTCCATGGTAATTCCTTTTTTACTCTCTCAACATATATGATATAATTACTGACTGCCCATTAAAGATTTTTGCCACCCGACTTCTGTTTTGCCTCTTAAACTCTGCCTATTTGAGCTACTAGTCACGAGCCCACGTAGGAGAATTGTAAATTGACGACCAGTGTAAAAATAGTGTAATTATGATATTGCCTGATTAATTTGGGATTGGGGCTTAATTGGCTGATTTATTTATTTATTATTAGAGTACTATTTTGTTGGAATTTATGTTCAGGAAGAAGTGGAGCAAACGTACATCATGATTAAGCCTGATGGAGTTCAAAGAGGCCTTGTAAGTTTCAATATATTCTTGTTTCTTTTGAGTTTGGTTTATTAGGAAAAAAAACTTTTAACTTTATGTTTTTGGCCACGTTTTTTGAATTTTTGTTTGAATGTTGTACATATGTTTCCTTAATTGATTATAGGTTGGAGAAATTATTTCCAGATTTGAGAGAAAGGGGTTTAAGCTTACTGGATTAAAGCTTTTTCAGTGCCCCAAAGAATTGGCAGAGGTTTGCCTCCTGGAGCTTTACTTGGATTGTCTATAATCCTGTTTTCAGGAATTGTCATTTCTATGCATACATACTCCCCTACTCGACCCCCCATCCTAAAAGGAAAAAACACGAAAAAAAAGTAGAACAAAAAGAAGGATTGAGAAAGAAGCGGAAAATCGCTTATACCGAGTTCCCCCACAGCAGCATAACCTAGTAGCAACACTTTTTCTACTGGTGGCGCTGCTAGATGCTTCTGATCAATAGAACACAAAGAGGAGGAAAAAATAAAGCTTATGACTAGCATCTATTTGAGTTGATCATTTCCAAGATCTAATTCCAGAAAATGTCTTCCTTCCAGTCGAAACTATAAAATAGTTTATGATATATAAAGATTGGAAGTATAAAGTTGGACAACCTGCAATTTCATAATTTGATGTAGTAGTTTTCTTGAAGAAGATCTCTTCAAGCGCGGGGCGAGTTGTTAAGGGAGCCTCTAAAATCCAACTACTTCCATCTACGCTATTGAGAGTTCTATCATGTTTTATTTTCAGGCTATAATTTATTGTGTCTAATCAAACCAAAAAAGAGTTGAAATTGTCAAGTAAAATATGTAAGTACTTCATCCCTAATATTATGCAGTTGGGTCAAGTTGCTTAAAGTTATTAATTGTTGCAGGAGCATTACAAGGACCTACAGTCCAAGCCATTCTTCCCCAAGCTGATTGACTACATTACATCTGGTCCTGTCGTCTGTATGGTAGAATTTCTTTCCATTTATATCGTTGTTATCATTCACTAAGTCGAGCCAATCAATTATCTCAGCTATCTGAAATTTGCAGTTGTATAATGTCTCCTACCTTTTGTAGATTTTTCTAATCTCTTAAAATCCTCCTTTGGCCAGGGTTGGGAGGGTGTTGGTGTTGTTGCTTCAGCACGTAAACTAATAGGAGCAACCAATCCTCTTAATGCTGAGCCAGGCACAATCAGAGGAGACCTTGCTGTTCAAACTGGAAGGTTGTGCCATATATATTATTATCATCTTAGAAGTTTTGCGATGTGGACAAATTTACAAGATTTTGATGGCAATTTATGTGCAGAAATGTGGTACATGGAAGTGATAGCCCTGACAATGGCAAGCGTGAAATAGGTCAGTTCTTTCCTAGTTTAGCGAATTAGTTGAGTAACATGTCGAATCAACTTAATCTGGCTTCCCCGTCATGTTACTAAATTTCTTCACCCGTTTTGAGCTGCTAGTTGGACATGAATGAAAACTCGTACTAGAATCTTTACAAATTAAACAGTGACAGCTTCAGTTTTAGTATTTATGAGAAAGCAAATGTACGCAAAAGTTTACTATTTTTCGTTCTTTTTGATAATGAAGCGAGTGAAAGAGCAAGAGTTTTTCCTTTATCATCACAAAGGACACTCTAATATGATATCAAAATGTGTGGATAAGTCAGCTGCTGACCAAATAATATGGCTTAGAAATTTTACTGCTGTAGATTACGTTTTTCATTGAACTAAACGAGCTCACATTATTGTCTAAAGATGATAATCGCGCGGTACCTTCACCCACATCCAACCTCGAGGCTTGAGGGGTTTGGTTTGAGTGCATTCTGACCAGATTTTTTCTCCAATTTAAAAACACTTGCGTTCATTTTTTCACCACAGTGATTATTAAGCATTTTATCAGGTCTCTCATGGCTATTCACGAGTTTGTGATTGAGGAATAGTTGCTTATTGATTTCATGCTTTCACTCAGCAAGTGTGTATGTGGAGGAAAAGAACGTAGTTTCAGTAATTATGTCCTCCAATTCACTGTTTCAATCTCTCTCTCTCTCTCACACCCACACACCCCATCACTCCTATTCTTGTTCCTTTGCTCCTATTCGTGATTTCTTTTTCATAATTTACATGAGTGCTGTCAGATGAATCTATTTGTTAGAGCGGAAGTCTGAGGAAAGACCCGACATGAAGTTAAGTTCACGATGATAATGTACTTATATGGAACTACTTCTATAAATTCCATAGTAAAACCAGAATATGCAGAATTACGTCGCATCCTGAGGCCTATGCTTTGCCTCAATTTCGCCTTTTAAACAATAAGTGAGAAGACGTGACTAAAAAGTGTGGAAGCAGATGTGCGCTTGCATGTTTATTTATTCACATCAATTCAGTTGATATTCCTTGGTCATCCACAACCAATCCTAAGTTGTGCATCAGAATAAACATCGGACTCTGCTACTCTCCACAAAATTGGTAAGTCAGGTTTACTGATTTGAACATTAATAGATATGTATTTCTCAGAAAGCTGGAGTATTTGCTAGCTTGTCCCATGTGCCGCTCTCTGGAAAAAAGCACCCAAATATCTATATGCTTGTAGTTTTAGCTGATTTGTGGTGGCTAGGAAGTAAAAGACCATCTATAACTAGGTGTGTGTTCCAGTAAGATGGATGGCTGACTAGCTGGTTTGCCTTGTAAATTTTTAGATTTGTGATTTCTCTACTGATGAAGTGAGTAGCGAGTGTTAGTTCTTGGAAATTCTCTCTCTTGCAAATGAAACTGAAGTCTTTAGCAGAATACTTTAGTTTGTTCCTCAAATTAGAATTAGTTAGCCTTGATTCTCATTTAATTGGTGTTTTGATCTCTTTTCTTATTTGTGTTCATTTCCTTTCTGCAGCTCTTTGGTTTAAAGAAGGTGAATTATGTGCATGGGCAGCAGTTCAAGAACCTTGGTTGATGGAATAATATCTTAGCTTTATGGGATTCTTCATCAAGTTTTGGAGGTTTGGAGTGTCGCTTATTCGGTGTTTGTTATTTGAAAATACAAGCACTGTAATTGTATCATTTTCTCCATTCTTTCCCTCTTTATATATAAGAGGGTTACTGCTGGATTTTTCAAATTTGATGTCAAACTGGAGAATTAAATTTGTAATTGTTATGTTGGTTGTTGTTAATTCATTGTAGTTAACAAAAGTACTCTAGATGTTCCTCGCAAAAGTCCACATTCTCCTTCTGCTTCATTTATTATAGATTCTGTTACTGCACCCATTTCTCCTTGTTCTTTCCCTTTATCCACAGTTCTGGTTTGCGGATAGTAACAATACAATAATTTTGTTTTGATTCAATCCCCTGAACTGGTCCCAAGGATATTCAAAGAATAGAGAAAAATTAATAGGATGATTCACCCAAAAAGATGCAGTAGCTTATATGAAGTTGCCCGATATGAACGTACATGCGATAACGCCCTTCACCTTGGTCCAAAAACCTTCCCTCTTGCAGTCTTTTCCTCTCAAGAATAGTTCTATAACACTTCAAATATTCACTGACTCAACAAGTATGCTTGAAAAGGAATGTAAACTATGTGAAATAGACATAACATGCAGTCCTGATTAGTATGAGGAGGCGGCTGAGCTTCTAGCCTTGAATATAAACAATAAATCACTTCTACACAACTGCAATTCCATTCTCAAGAGTTGCTTCCTGGCACTTAAATTAAGAGCAAGGCTTCCGTGGAGCGTATAATATTGAATGAGAGAATGGAGAAGAAATTCCAAGAATGAGTTATTGTATCATATCTCCCGATTTATGTACCTTGCTTCTGATTGTCACTGCCCTGCATGTTGCTTTGCATTTCAAGCACCTTGTGTTGCTCCTCCTCATCAGCTACTTGTGGATTTACATCTTTCATGGCCTTGGGCTTGTTGCTTGTGGACTGCTGGTACATAACGCCACCAAACATGCAGATCAACAGCCCCAGTGTTCCGATAAGTTTGGAGTGTTTATCCCATATAACTAGATTTATCACCACTGTCAAAAGTTTGTTCACAATGCCAAGAACAGTAAATCCTGTTGCAGAGATTGTTCTACGGCAAGAAAATCCAAAGAAGGATATCGCTAAGCCAAATAAACACGACAGGGCTACTGGTAACACCACTTGAAAGCTATGCCAATCAGACTCGTCGTCAATTTCATGTTTAATCTTCTTCAATTCACCCATTATAAGTAATTCTATAGGAAAGAGCAGCAAAGCCTCAAGATTGTTGTACAGCACAAGACCCCATGTGTTTAGACCGATTGTCATAACCACATGCTTGATGTAAACAAAATCAATAGACATGCTCACTAAATAGGTCAAGGCCCAGCTATAAGCTGTAAGAGTGAACTAGTAATCTGTACTGACATAGAGCATGCTACCAGCAAAGATTGTACCAAGTGACAACCACGTTTTTATTGTTGGCCACAGCTGGTGCAAGTAGAGGGCCTCTCCTATCGCAACAAAGATGGGGACTGCTGATCTGAAGACAATAAATGTATCAACATTGGCGTGGAGGAGAAGCTCACTGTTTGTGAAAAGAGACAGGTAGAATATAATTGCTGCAGGTAGGAACCTCCACATTGTTAGAAGATCAAGTTTATCATGCTCGATAAAATTAAGCCATCCGCACACAACAACTCCAGCTGCACTTGTGAAGTACTGCAATGCAGTTAGTGCTCCCGGGTACGGAAATTTCATTATGGCCCACTTGTTAATGATGGAGAGCAATGATGCTGAAAGACAGTACCCAGCAGCTATACCATAATCCGATGCTTGCTGAAGTAAGCCACTATACCAAGTTGATTGGAAACTCTGAGACGGGGAAGAAGCATCCAAAGACACCCAGGAATCTTCATCTTTGGGATTTTCCACATCTTTTGACATCTAATCTAATAGACCAACAGAGGAAATTTTCATATAAGTTACAATTAACCATTAACAGCAATTAAATCTTTTACCTTTTAGGATAAAAAACACACAGCAGAAGTTAACCCTGCTGCTTTATGAAGCCAAATCCATTTACTGAATTATCTAGAAACAGTAATTTTGTCATAAACATCACAATTTCATCTATAAGCAATTGCAATAATGGGGTTCATTGACATTCATAGTATAGAAGATGCTATATCACATATAATTATACTCAACTCGATGGAATTGTTTGATCTATAAGCAGACCATAGTGGGTGCGCTTTTGTAAAATGTAGAAAATACAACTCTTAATTCCATTCATATCGGATGAATTCAGTACTAGCTTCTCTTTCATTATTTAAACTTCTCTGAAATAACGAAATATCTAAAAACTTTTACTCCATTTTAAGCTATTTTTGTCTATTCCTAAGCAACTAATTAAGAATTCATCTTATTCTTCCCCATTTTTTATTACACTGCAGTTTTGCAGCTGTGAGAACATTGAATATTTGAATGCATGGGTTGTTCTAAGCCCTAACGCCTAGAGAATTGGCTTGCTACTTCACTCTGCATTATTCTTCAGACGAAAATGCAGCTACAAAACACCAGCATTGACAGAAAGTCCGAGGTTTATTAAGCCATTCCATCCGAAATTCCTTACTTATGAAAAATGCATGTTATCAGATAGATTATGTGACATTATTCACTTTCTTTTCTTTCCTTCTTTTATTGGCTGATAAACCTCATTATGTAAAAATGGTTCACACCCTGTATATATGTAAAGAGATCCACCAATAATTGATTTCGAACCCAGTACAATCAAATGGTCCATGGTAGAAATAAGTACAAATAATAACTACATCCTCGATGATTCAGATGCATACCTTGAGCAGAAAATAGGTAGAATTTTTTTCACAATCACTTGCAGCCACTAGTTCCCGAGGCGCCGCAACCTGCAACTAAAGTAGTCATTGATGGAATATATACCACAGCGGAAGCAATAACAGAATCTTATTCACGTTCCTCAGTTACCTCTTGAAGCGTAAACACAACAAATCTAGGTCGTTCTCCAGTTCCTCAGTTGAAAACAC